TAGTAAAACTATTGTCTTTTTTTCTTTTCCAAGCTCAGGAAAAGAGTCAACAAAAGAATATAGACAGAATTATACTTTATGTTTTGATATCTTGAGTAGAGACATGGTCGGCATTGTTTAGTGGGTATTATTAATCTATCAACTATATATTCTATACACCTTTACCCAAAAACAATTTCTAACAGAACCATGCTACTTTGAAAACTTCATAGAAATTTCTCAAGTGGGAAGTTTTACTTTTCTGTTTATCAGTACATTACTTTTTACTTTGTAATTTCAATTTGTACTCAGTGTTTTGAGGTTAGCTATGTTTTATTCCTTTTTTGTTCTTCTGGTGACAATTGATTGTCACTTAGAAGAGTAAAGGGCATTGGTGAGTAACAGTGGATCTGTTGAAAGTCCCAAGAACCAAAACTTGTTCAGATTACATGATACTGGTGGGTGGTAGGGGAGACTTTTGTATTTTAAAGAATTCCTTTAAATTTAATTCCTATTAGTTTTTTTTTTAATTTAATTTTTTTTTAAATTTTTTTATTATTTTTGGTCTTTTTGAGACCTGGTCTCCCTGTAGTCCCGGCTGGCCTGGAACTCACTATGTAGACCAGGCTGGCCTTGAACTCACAGACATCTGCCTGCCTCTGCCTCCCAAGTGCTGAGATTAAAGGTGTGTGCCACCACACCCATCTTCCTATTAGCATTTTTGTGTCTTTAATTTCAAATAGGCTTTGAAAAAGTCTGTTCCATCTTATAATATTGCAAGAATTTCATTTAAAGGTATTTGAAATGTATAGTGTATACCTGTTGTTTTTCATTAAAAAATTTATTTTATGTATATGAATGTTTTGCCTACATGTGTATAAGTGCACTCCTGTGTGCGATGTCCACAGAGGCCAGAAGAGGGCATCAAATCCCCTGGAACTGGAGTTAACAGATGGTTGTTGGCCTCCATGTGGATGCTGGGAACCCAACCTTGGCCCTCTGCAAGAGCAACCAATGCTCTTACCCACTGATCCATCGCTCCAGCCCCGTGTCTATTTTTATGATATATCAAACATTCTTCTGCTTATAACAACTACTTCTATTTTCATAGCATACCAAAAAAGACCTTGATGGATTTCGGAAACTGTTTCACAGATTTTTGCAAGAAAAAGGACCTTCTGTGGATTGGGGGAAAATCCAGAGACCTCCAGAAGATTCGGTAAGTTTTAGATAAAATGTAAGAAAATTTAAGGTAATTCTGGATGTTGGTTTTACTTTGGAGGTGGGTGGTGAGGACTTGGAAGAACCATCATAACAAATACACTGCTTTCAATCTGAGTCTTCACATTGAGCTATGGAGATGGCTTCAACTGTTTTCTGTCTTTTAGGCCTTTCAGAGCCCTGCTGAGGACTTTTCAGAGTCTGATCTCCTTGTAGCACTAACATATCTTATTCTTTAACATGTTGTCATTCTTTTGCAGTGTGTATTTAGTACAAAACAACATACCTTAAGAATTTCACATTTGTTTCTTCTCACTTCCAAACCATTTGCCTTCTTACTGCCTGAAGGGTCATTTAGGCACTTAACCAGATTTTAAAGCTCTCCCATGCTTTCAGTCCATCTTTATAGCACTGTCTGTCTCACACAAACCAGCCTAGCAGTCCCTTCATGTACATTTTGCTCCCTTGTTTCTGGATGTCTGTGTACATTTTCTTTAGATGTTATGCTGTCTTCATTTATCACATCCTGTGTGCTCTTGGGAGCGCAGTCTGAATGTCTGCACCTGCTATTGGCCCCAACAGAAAATCCTGCTGAGGAGGTGTAAAGCAGTATTACAGGCTTAAATCTGAGTTGTACGTCTTCATTTTATGTAAAAGACTAATCCAAGTGCTTTATGTACTTCACAGAGTTGTTATGAGGATTTGTTTGAGATAGTTTATATGTAAAAACAGGTTAAACCTTAAAAAACATTTCACCGAGTTGATAGTTCTTTTTAGCACGTGTGGTGTTCCTTTCTTATGTGTTTGTAATCTTATGTAATCCAGTGGTTTTAAAACCCAGTTCAGAACAAACGGACTTAAAGTCTGCTCCCATTTCCTGTGTTTGCTAAGTTTTGCTGGGACTCACATCCATTCATCCATGTATGTACAACTATCTATGGCAGTTTATCTTACTTTTTTTTGTTCTAATGAGAAAACTGCAAACCAGTTCCCAATTAGGAGTAATTTTATCTCCATATGTGGAAAATGTCCTTTAGTTCTTAAATTTTAAAAATTTATAAATTATATGCTCATTAGAAAACAGAAATTAAAAAGAAAAAAATAAAATTCCATCTCAGTCACCTGAAGTATAGTCTGTTATTTTCAGAATTATAATTAAAATTCCTCTTACCTAGCTGGTTTAACTTGGCTCAGCAGGTTAAACGCTTACTGCACAGGCCTAAACAGCCTGAATTCAACTCCCAGAATCTATGGTGGAAGGAGAGTACAACTCATGAAAGTTGTACCCTGACCTCCACATGTATACCATGGCACATGTACAAATGTGTATGCATGCACACACAGACACACTAATAATAATAATAAATGCTTTTTTAAATAAAAAAATTCCTCTTGCCTATAATGACAATTATACTTAGCAGGATTTTTGGGGGCATGGGGTCTAGTTTGGGGCTTTGCTCTCATTGGCCTTGGTGCATGAATTATGATCCATTCTTTGATATTAAGTAGCAGAATTAATATTTTCTCTCCAAAAGAGAATGAGAGAATTTTTCTGAATAGGTATGCCATTTTGAAAAAGAACTAAACGTAATTAAGTCAGATTTTAAAAAATATTTAAGGACAGGAGAAACATGGTATTTAGACATTTTAAATTCTTAGAATTTTTGCCTGGGAATTATTCCTCAGTTGATTTTTGTGTGGCTGGCTTCAGCAGAAGGTCTGGGAGCTATGCTTTTTTCTTTACACTTGCTGTAGAGTCTGATGGTCCTGATCTAGGGCAAGGTAGCAGCCCACCTTTGTACAGCAGCCCTTGTGCAAATGAATGTTTCTTGTAGATGGGTTCCAGTGCCATGCTGGTGTTTTAAGACATCCACTGGTGTGGATTACTTAAAACATAATTACTGATGAGGATGCACAATTAATGTGAAAAAGGAACAGAGACAGAAATATATATTCTGGGTATGATATGATTTTGTGTATTCTTTGTCTTTGTGTGCAAGTTTCCTCTTAAAAATGGTTTTATTTTGAAGCTTACTTCTTGAACATATTTTTTTAAATGCATATAAAATCCTGTGTGTCCTAATGTTGACGGTTTTGGAATTCAGGAGCAGGAAATGTTTGCTTTTTATCTTCTTTATCTACTTCTCTGAGTAAATGTGTCTCATACAGAATTTGTGTTTTACCAGCTTTTGCACATAGTTTATGGCTTAATGTTCCTTCACCTTGTTTCTTATACCCAGACTCCTCTGTCCTTCTTTCCAATAAGTTTTCTTTCTCAGGTTTTGGAGATTGTATAGAGATCAATTTTCCTTTCAAAATAGAATTTTATGTAGTGAAAATAATTTAAGTGTAAGTGATATTTATCTTTCTTGCCAAATAGAACTTACTGTGGGAGAACTACCACCTAGAGTGACATTTTTAATATCAAGCCTCAGAGGTGTGTACATGAAACACTGTTTTATAAAGGATCTGTATGCACACACACACAAGCAATTCTATCCATTGAGCCAACTTGCAGGCTTGAATCTATGTTTTTGTACATGGGTTAGAAATTTGCCATAGTTTGTAAATAAAGTTTTATTGGAACACAGAGATACTCATCTATTGTCTGTAGTGCCTGTCTTGCTATAATGGTGCAAGTCAATAGTTAACAATTGAGGCAATGTAGGTTTTAACACTCATTTATCTGAACCTTTATGAAAAAGGTTTTCTGACTTTAGTGTACCAATTTTTCAGATCTTTAGTAGTTGTGTGTGTGTGTGTGTGTGTGTGTGTGTGTGTGTGTGTGTAGATGCTGAAGTGTGTGTTATGAGCAGGTCAGAAGACAATCTCCAGTGTCAGTCCTCACTTTCCACCTTGTTTGAGTCTCTTGTTTTTCTATGGTGTACCCCAGAATTCTTGGTCCACAAGCTTCCAGAGACTTCCCTGTTTCTGTGCCTCATCTCTTCTATAGGAGCACTGTGAGTACAGATGCTTGCACTGTGCTCTTCCATAGGAGCATTTGGTGCTGGAGAGCTTTAGTGTCAACTGTTGAAGGAGCCTCAATTGAGGAATTGCCTCCATTGAACTGGCCTGTGGCCATGTCTTTGAGGCACCTTCTTGATTGTTGTGTGATGTGGGAGGGCCTAGCCCACTGTGGGTGGTGCCACCCCTGGGCAGGTGGGCCCGTGTTGCATAAGAAAGCAGCCTGAGGAGGGGCCAGGGGAGCAAGCCAGTAAGCAGCATTCTTCTATGACCTGTGGTCTAGCTTCTGTCTCCAGGTTCCTGCCCTGAGTTCCTACCTTGGGCTCCCTGATGAACTGTGACCTGGGAGATGGGAGCTAAATAAACCCTTTCCTCCCCAAGTTGGTACTGGTCAGTGTTTGGTCACAGCGGTGGAGAAACAAACTAGGATAGAGTACATGCTTGCTTTCAGTGCATTCTCAAAGGCGTTCATGACCTGTCAAGATTAAGAACTGCTGTCTTACGGTCTCATTCAAGCAGTGTTTATCAGAAGCTTCCTCACACTATCTACAAAAACAAGTCTCGCTCTGTCAGAATTTTGGCCTCGTGTTTGTAGAGGAATTGAATTCAGGAACAGACACCTAACTGCAAAACAATACAATAAGGAATCCATAGGGTGTTGTGAAAGCATCTGACTGGCATGGATCTAGGGAAGACTTCAGGTCTCCTGTGGTGACCTTGAGGCAAGACCTCTCAGGGATGGAAAGATAATCAAAGGGAAAACAATCTATGAAAGTAAGAGTCCAAAAGTAGGGTTTAGGATAAAGTCCATGATGATCTTTGGTGGAGGAACGTACAGCAGATTTGTTGCTCCATGTCTAGAGCCAGAAAAGGTTCCCGAGAGAACCGGAGGCTGTCTCTTTGCCCTGTCATTGTCACCCCCATTCATTTACTGAGAACCTCTTCTCTGACTGAAGAACACTGGGAAATGTCCAAATCTGCAGTTTCCATTTAAGAAAGACAGGAGTGGTGGAACACTAGAACAAAATGGAAACACCGTGATTGCTTGTATACCTCATATAGTTGGATTTAATTTGGCAACTTTGTCAAACATTGTGAATTAGTTAAAAGAAATAAGACTGATAGGCATTTTAGCTGTTGATAAATGTCAGATTTATTGAGGTACAATTTACATGTACTCAGTTTTCCCCCTTTTAAAAGTATATATTTTATGAGTTTTGGCAAATGAATAGAGTTATTTGCCATTACAATCAATATACAGAACTTTTATATCACTCCCAACATTGCCTTTGTGTCTCTTTTAACGTATGCTTCTCTACAGGTCTCTGGTTCTGACTTTATCTCCTTTCTTAAATGCACAAGATAATTCAGTTGTATCCTACTAAAATATTGCCTTTTTGTCTTCTCCTAAGGAAACAGCCTTGCCTCCACCCTCCCTTTTATGTCAGTTGGCCTTTCTCTTAGTCAACTGTGCTCAAGTAAACATACTTGCCCTTTAGTCTCCCATAGAACTCTTTTATAGCCTCTGTCATTTTCCTTTTACCCCACCTTCTTTTCTCCAGGGCTGCTTCTACAATGTGAATTATATAATTAAACTAACACTATTATATGCTAAGGCGTTGTTATTTGATATCCCACAGTTTAAAGCTAATACATAGCATAATTGAATGATGTTATAGGTTTCATTTTTATTTGTTAGGAAATTTAGGTAGGATTATTGCAGATATTTAAAACCCTTCCTTGTCCACAAGTAGACTAATGGAGATGTCTGAGAGGGAAGGTACAAGGTGATTTTAGTAAAGAGCTAGGAGATTTTTGACATAAAATTGTTACATGGAGCCAGGCATGGTGGTGCACGCCTTTAATCCCAGCACTCAGGAGGCAGAGGCAGGCGGATCTCTGTGAGTTCAAAGCCAGCCTGGTCTACATAGTGGTTCCAGGACAGCTGGGGCTACAGGGAGACCCTGTCTCAAAAAGTCCAAAAAAAAAAAAATTGTTACATGGATCTTCTGTGTATTCTATTATCATTCTTTT